GTTTCTGCTGCCTTTTGTTCAGCTATGCCCTGCCCCCAGAGGTGGAGTCTACAGAGGCAGGCAGGTCTCCTTGAGCTGCAGTGGGCTCCACCCAGTTTGAGTTTCCCGGCTGCTTTGTTAACCTACTCAAGCCTCAGCAATGGCAGGCACCCTTCCCCCAGCCTCACTGCCGCATTGCAGTTGGATCTCAGACTGCTGTGCTAGCAATGAGTGAGACTCCGTGGGTGTGGGACCCTCCAAGCCAGGTGCAGGATATAATCTCCTGGTGTGCCGTTTGCTAAGACCGTTGGAAAAGCGCAGTATTAGGGTGGGAGTGACCTGATTTTCCAGGTGCCGTCTGTCACGGCTTCCCTTGGCTAGGAAAGGGAATTCACTGACCCCTTGCGCTTCCTGGGTGAGGTGATGCCTCTCCCTGCTTTAGCTCACACTCTGTGGGCTGCACCCACTGTCCTGCACCCACTGTCCGACAAGCCCCAGTGAGATGAACCTGGTACCTCAGTTGGAAATGCAGAAATCACCCATCTTCTGCGTTGCTCACGCTGAGAGCTGTAGACTGGAGCTGTTCCTATTCGGCCATCTTGGAACTGCACCTATTTGTCTTTTCTTCATGCTAGAAACATTTATTCTCTTCTAGCTATTTTTTTTTTTTTTTTTTTTGGAGACAGTCACCCAGGCTGGAGTGCAATGGCGTGATCTTGGCTCACTGCAACCTCCGCCTCCTGAGTTCAAGTGATTCTCCTGCCTCAGCCTCCCAAGTAGCAGGGACTACAGGTGTGTGCCACCAGACCTGGCTAATTTTATATTTTTGGTAGAGATGGGGTTTCACTATGTTGGCCAGGCTGGTCTTGAACTCCTGATCTCAGGTGATCCCCTCACCTTGGGCTCCCAAAGTGCTGGGATTATAGGCATATGCCACCTCATCCGGCCTCTTCTAGCTATTTTGAAATGTTCAGTAAATTATTGTGAACTAGTCACCCTACTGATCCATTGAACATGAGGTCTTATTCCTTCTATCTAACTGTATATTTGTACCCATTAATCAATCTCTCTTCACCTCCCACCCCTTCCCGGCCTCTGGTAATTACCAATCTATTCTCTATTTTCATAACATCCACTGTTTTAGCTCCCACATATGGATAAGAACATGCAGTATTTGTCTTTCTGTGCTTGACTTATTTAACTTAACATAAGGACTTCCAGTTCCTCCATGTTGCTGCAAATGATAAGATTTCATTCTTTTTTTATGGCTGAATAATATTCCATTGTGTATATATACCACATTTTCTTTATCCATTCATCCATCTGGAACAGGAAATGATGCCCACTTTTACCACTTTAATTTAACATAATACCAGAAGTCCTGGCCAGAGAAATCAGGCAAGAGAAAGAAATAAAGTGTAGCCAAGTTGGAAAGGAAGAAGTCAAATTAGCCTTGTTCAAAGACAATTTTTTTTTTTTTTTTTGAGACAGGGTCTCACTCTGTCACCCAGGCTGCAGTGCAGTGGTGCAAAGGTGATCTTGGCTCACTACAACCTCTGCATCCTGGGTTCAAGCGATTCTCCCACCTCAGCCTCCTGAGTAGCTGGGACTACAGGGATGCACCACCACTCCTGGCTAATTTTTTGTATTTTTAGTAGAGATAAGGTTTTGCCATGTTGGCCAGGCTGGTCTTGAACTCCTGGCCTCAAGTGATCTGCCCACCCTGGCCCCCCAAAGTTCTGGGATTACAGGCGTGAGCCACTGTGCCCAGCCCACAATATGATCTTATACTTAGAAAAACCCGAAGACTACCAGAACACTGTTAGAACTGATACATTTAGTAAAATTGCAGGATACAAAATAAACACACAAAAATCAGTAGCACTTAAATATGCCAACAGTGAACAATCTGAAAAAGAAATCAAGAAAGTAATCCCATTTCCAATAGCTACAAAGAATATAAGATACCTAGAAAACAATTTAATCAGAGACGTGAAAGATCTATACAAGGAAAACTATAAAACATTCATAAAAGAAATTAAAGAGGACATTAAAAAATGGGAAGATATTCCATGCTGATGGGTCCAAATAATTAATATTGTTAAAATGACAACTCTACCCAAAGCAATTTATAGATTCAGTGGAATCCCAATCAAAATACCTATGATATTCTTCACAGAAATAGAAAACAAAATAACAAAATCCTGAAATTTTTTTCTTTTTCTTTTTTTTTTTTTTTTTTGAGACAGGTTCTCACTCTGTCACCCAGTCTGGAGTACAGTGGCACAATGACAGCTTACTGCAGCCTCAAACTCCCGGGTTCAAATGATCCTCCAGCTGTAGCCCCATGAGTAGCTGGGACTACAGGCGCATGACCACAACACTTGTTTTCTGTAGAGACAGGTTTTTGCCATATTGCCCAAGCTGGTCTTGAACTCCTGGGCTCAAGCAGTCCTTCAGTCTAGGTTTCCCAAAATGCTGGGATTACAAGTGTGAGCCACTTGTGCCTGACCCCTACAATTTTTATAGAACCACAAAAGATCCAGAATAGCCAAAGCAATCCTGAGCAAAATGGACAAAGCTGAGGCCAGGTGTGGTGGCTCACACCTGTAATCCCAGCACTTTGGGAGGCAGAGGTGGGGGAATCACCTGAGGTCAGGAGTTCAAGACCAGCTTGGCCAAAACCCTATCTCTACTAAAAATACAAAAATTAGCTGGGTGTGGTGGTGGGCACCTGTAATCCCAGCTACTGGGGAGGCTGAGACAGCAAAATTGCTTGAGCCTGGGAGGCAGAGGTTGCAGTGAGCCGAGAGTTGTGCCATTGCATTCCAGCCTGAGCAACAGAGAAAAACTCCGTCTCCGAAAAAAAAAAAAAAAAAAAAAAGCTGGAGGCATCTGACTTAAAAACATATTACAAAGCTACAGTAACCAAATTGGCATGGTACTGGCATAAAAACAGACACATTGACTGATGGAAGAGAATAGAGAACCCAAATATAAATCCATGCATTTACAACCAACCCATTTTTGACAAAGGTATCAAGTACATACAATGGGGAAAGGACAGTCTCTTCAATAAATGGTGCTGAGAAAACTGGAAAACTATAAGCAGAAGAATGAAACTAGGCTCTCATTTACTATATACAAAAATCAAATCAAAATGGACTACAGACTTAAATCTATGACCTTAAACTATGAAACTACTAGAAGAAAACATTGAGGGAAATGCTCCAGGACATTGGAGCATTTTTATTTGTCTATTTTGTCATTTGTCAAAAGATTTCAAAAGCAAAACCAAGCAAAACAAAAATAGAAAATGGGATTATGTCACGCTAACAAGTGCCTGTACAGCAAAGAAACAATGAACAAAGTGAAGAGACAACTCACAGAATGGAAGAAAATATTTGCAAACTACCCCTTTGACAAGGGATTAATGACTGGAGTATATTAAGGAGCTCAAACAACTCAATAGCCAAAAAAAAAAAAAAAATCAGATTTAAAAATGTGCAAGGTTGGGGCAGTGGTTCACTCCCATAACACCAGCACTTTGGGAGGATGAGGAGTTTCAGACCAACCTGGGCTGAGGTGGGAGGATCACCTGATCCCGGGCAAATTAAAGCTGCAGTGAGCCATGATCTCATCACTGTACTCCAGACTGGGCAACAAGACCCTGTCTCAAAAAAAAAAAAAAAAAAAAAAAAGCAAAAGATCTGAATAGATATTTCTCAAAAGAAGACGTACAAATGGCCAACAGCTATATGAATAAATGCTCAATATCACTAATCATCAGAGAAATGCAAATCAAAACCACAATGAGATATCATCTCACCTCAGCTAAAATGGCATACATCAAAAAGACATGGAATAATGAATGGATGCTGGTGAGGATGTGGAAGAAGGAGAACCTTCATACACTATTGGTGGGAATGTAAATTAGTATGACCGCTATGGAAAATAGTGTGGAGTTTCCTCAAAAAACTAAAAATAGAACTACCATATCATCTAGCAATGCCACTGCTGGGTATTTATCCAAAAGAAAGGACATCAGTATATCAAAGAGATAACTGCACTCCCATGTCTACTGCAGCTCTATTCATAGCAGCCATAACATGGAATGAACATTTCCTGTTTTTTTTTTTTTTTTTAGAAATTAAAATGGTTTTTCTGTGGATCACTATTGAAATTTTTTTTTTTTTTTTTTTGAGACGGAGTCTCGCTGTGTTGCCTGGTTGGAGTACAGTGGCGCAATCTTGGCTCACTGAAACCTCTGCCTCCCGAGTTCAAGTGATTCTCCTGCCTCAGCCTCCTGAGTAGCTGGGACTACAGGCATGCGCCACCACGCCCAGCTAATCTTTGTTATTTTTAGTAGAGACACGGTTTCACCATGTTGGCCAGGATGGTCTCAATCTCTTGACCTTATGATCTGCCCACCTCGGTCACCCAAAGTGCTGGGATTACAGGTGTGAGCTACAGTGCCCGGCTCTTGAGTTTTTTTCATGGTAGCATAGGCCAAGTTTTAAAAAGCCATTTATGAAGGTTGACAAGGCTTTACCTAAATTAAACTCAAATATAAAGGCCTTCAAGAAAACTGCCTTCAATCCTTACTGAAACTTTATATTTATCCTAAAACTTCAGCACTATTTTGATGTGACTTTATCTTCTTTGCTCAAAGTTTATAAATTTGTTCAAAGATCCTAGAAAGTCAAATGCATAATAGCATAGTAATAGCAGCATAGCAAGTGGAAAAGTTTAAAATTATGTTTTCATATTTTGTTTGAAATGCCACCCATGTGTATATCTCCCAGAAAAAGCAATAATATGACTACTCAAAGACCCAATTATAGGGTGAATACAAATTTCATTAACTTTGGTCCCACTACACTGGAAGAACTGGGAATTTTACTAAATGGAACAAGAGGAGGAAATCAGGAGAGGCTAAGAACTCTCAGAGGCAATGACATGAGGAGGAGGAAAAGTGACTAAAGCTCTGGCTCTAGGAGCTACAGCATACAGTTGGCTACCTTGCTCTTTGAGAAGGACTCGCACAGCTGAGTTTTCCTTTACTTTTTTTCTGGCTGCTGCTGCTTCTTCCTTAGACCACTGCATGTGATCCCTATTAAACAAATAAAAATAAAAAGATTGTAAAATATGCTTTATCATTGAAGAAGACAGAAAAAAGGTGACAGGGAACCACATCTTTCATTCTAGATTAGCTGAAGACAAATGATACAGACTAATTCCACATGGAATGAATACATTTTGTGTCAGATGTTCCTACTGATAGCGCTGGTACAACCCTGGAACTCCTACGATTCTTCTGTTTAAATCTGGTTGTGCTGCAAGCCCCAACTACCTCTGGGAAATGGCTGCTAAAGTAATGTCCTCAGAACACCCTGGTGTATGACTATTTGGGTGCTGGTATGGTTTGCTGGTTTTTACTCTAAGGCTAAATTTATTTGCCTTTTTGTTAATTTATGAACAGAACATTCTTCAGTAGTTTTTAAATGCTCCTCTTACAACACTTGTATTCTAACACTTTGCTGTCAAAGAGATGAAAGTTTAAAAATGTTTTGTAATTAACCTGCAATTTTTAAAGTAACTTTAGATTTATTTTTCTTATTAGCTACTTTAAATTCTGTAAAAGGATTCATTTGCATTTAAGTGATAGAGTACTTGATATAGCATGTGAAAAGGTCACCTTTCTAAGTTCTGGCACTTTCTATAAGTATTTTTAGTTTCAGAATCTACTCTCCCTATGTGAGAAGATATTTTCTGCTGCAAAAAAAAAATGTCTTTCTTGGAATAGAAGCAACAACTGTATGCAAGAAAGGTAATTTTTTTTAAGTTTTGTTTTCACAAAGTTTGCATTTTTTTTTTGCAATAGGTTAGACTCTAGGTAAAGCAATTTCCTGGAATAAACCAGGAATAATTTTTTATCACTAAATAATAAAAAAATTACATACCCCATATTCAAGTTGCATGTAGCCTAAAAGAAAAACCTCTAACACTATTATCATATGATATATGTAGTCACCTGACTGATGACAAGGGATAAATTATACAGTTCTTGAAAGTGCATCATGCTGTGACCGACTAACACTGAGCAGTCAGCATGATCATCATCATCACAATAATAATAATTACCATCATTTATTTATTACATATCAGGTATTGTAATAAGCACATTGCATACATATGTCTTATTTAATCCTTTCAAAAATCCTTTGGTAGGGTTATAATCATGCCCACTTTGCATAGTGGCTAACAGAAATGTAACAACTTATTCAAGGTTATATAGCCAGGAAGTGGCAGAAACAGAATTCACCTAGGTTTGTGTCACTTAAAAGTCCATCTTCTCAACTATTAGTCTATTATTTTCTACCATGGCAGTGGGGGACACAGAGAGACTTAAGATGTAATGTTTGCCCATCTTGGGTTTATATTCTGCTAGTACAGGCAAGTAAACAATAAGTAAATGATAATACAGTGGAGCATGCATGGCTAGCACCTGATGAAGGGGAGTGCAGCCAATTAATGCAGCTGGGGCAAATAGGAAGACTTGAGAGAAGGTAGGTTTGGGCTCAGGTTAGGAGGAAAAGTGGTGGAGCAAATTCATGTCACTCAGAAGCTGACAATACAGACAGTGCATACAGGGAACAGTTAAAAGAAACTCCATTTTGACTGGTTCTCTTGGACTACTGCAGATGAAGTTGGGAGCTGGATAATGGTCAGATTTCAGAGGATCTTAATTGTGGGGCTGAACAGTTAAGTAGTGTGCAAGACACAATGAAGTGGGGATGGACTGGAGGAAAAGCGACCAATTAGACTGTTGGAATGGTCTAGGAGTAATGAGTCCCAGGACTAAAGTGGTAGCAATGGAGAACAGGAAGGAAAGGGGGAGAGGGAGACACTGAAAACATTGAAATTAAGACCTAGAGATTAACTAGATATTGGAGAGAAGTGTAAGAGTTATGAATGATTCCAAGGTCTTAAAACTGAGTATCTAGGAAAGTGGGGGTAACAATGACAGAATGTGGAGTTGCATTGGGTGGAATGATGATAAGCATGGTACTATTTTAAGTAATGCTTATACAATCAGATATGAGAGGGTATATTCCAGTGACCTGGCTATAAATACTGAAGGTGAGAAACAGTTTTCCTTAACTAACTAACTAACTAACTAACTAAATAAATAAATAAATCAAAACTGGTATGCTGCAGTCTCCAGGAAACGTGAATGAGAATGTTTTCAGAGTTTCATAGATAAAAGTTTAACCGCCAGTATTTAAATAAAACTCAATCATGTACAAGCCAAATAACCATAAACAGCTTTGTCTCTTGCTTTAACAAATGAGATTAGAATAGGTTTTTTTTTTTTCTTTGACTTATTCTGACTTACTTTAACATATGCGAGCAATCACATACAAATTGGGGCTGGCAACTATACTTTAAATTCTGTATATATTAAATATACTATATTGAATACAATTACATGACAGTTGTGAAATTAAAGGCAACAAGTTATTTATTGAAAAAATAGTATTTCTAAGGTTAGGGATGAGTTTTTCATCTACAAATTTCTACCACATATAGGAAAGAAAATAGAACAATCTATTTCCCTGGCAAGAATCAAGCTGTAAGACAATAAGAGTATATGTGGTCTTCCACTTTAAGCATTTAAGCTTTTAGTTTAACTTGCTATTTCTTAAGTATTTAATAGATACAGTTATTTTTTAACTGTAACTTCCTTACCCTGTTCTTTATGTTACTTCATTTTCTTAACTGCTAAGTGAGGGGAATATTAAATCCTAAGTTCCTGCAGAACAGATTTTTTTTTACACTACAGTTACAGAATCCCCACAGAAACCTATAAAATGTTCCTACTGTATTTATGGGGACTTCCTCCAGCCCTGCTGCTTTATGGCAGTTCTTTATTTTGGAGGAACTGGATTCATGTATCCCAAAACCCAACAGCTGGCAATAAGAATCATACAACTTTTTATTAGTAATAATACAACTACAATAGAATTTAAGCATAGAAACAAATAATAAACAAACTGAAAAGAATCAAGTATTTAACAGCAACAAAAACCAAAGGAAAAAAGTGGTTTATAGAGTTTGACCAATAAATTGTACTTCTGGGAACTTACTGAAATGAAGTAACTCAAAAGAACTAAGAAATTCTGTACAGGGAAATATTTGTATGAAGATATTCACTGGAACACTAAATATAATATTAGTAGCAAAAAATGAGAAACAACTTCAGTGATAGGGAAATGAAAAAATTATAGTAAATCAAAGGAATATTATGCAGACATTAAGATAATAAATATGACTATTACATGACAATATGGAAAAGTATTTATAAAATAACATGAGGTTAAAAAAGTAGATCCCCAAATTTTATATATACATATCTTTTTTTTTTTTTTAGATGGAGTTGCTCTGTTGCCCAGGCTGGAGTGCAATTGCACAATCTTGGCTCACTGCAACCTCTGCCTCCTGTGTTCAAGCGATTCTCCTGCCTCAGCCTCCCGAGTAGCTGGGATTACAGGCATGTGCCCCCATGCCCAGCTAATTTTTGTATTTTTAGTAGAGATGGGGTTTCACCATATTGGCCAGGCTGGTCTTGAACTCCTGACATCAGGTGATCCACCTGCCTTGGCCTCCTAAAGCGCTAGGATTACAGACGCGAGCCACCGTGCCCAGCCTATAACAAGTTTTAAAAAAACCTTTTTAGCCTTTGGAAAAACCTTTGACAGCCTCAAACTCCTGAGTTCAACCAATCCTTCAGCCTCAGCCTCCTGAGTAGCTGGGACTATAAGTGTATCCCACTGTGCCCAGCTAATTTTTAAAATTTTTCAATTAATTTTTTTTTTTTTTTTTTTTTTTTTGTAGAGACGGGTCTTGCTTTGTTGCCCAGGCTGGTCTCCAACTCCCTCATCAAGCGATCCTCCTGCCTTGGTCTCCCATACTGCTGGGATTACAGGCA